CTTTCCCTCTTTCCTCTCCCACTCGCGGTGCTTCTCACTCGGCAGGTACCACGCGGATAGGTGTATTACCTTCGGTAAGGTGGTTCGGCACTGCCGTTTGTCGCTCGACTCGCCGCCGGACAAGAGTGGGGACAGAGAACACCTGTATCTTGTATACTTGTCGATGCACATCTTACGAGATGAGTGCCACGCAAAGAAAAACAGTCACAAAGCAAATCGCATAAGAACTGAGATGAAATATGAAATAGCGTCTCGAATATTCTATTTAAGAGAAAGTATTGTTCTATTCTTTCTATTAAAGAATATCAGATATTATCTCGGTTATTGTCTAGATACTCGGTTTATTTTGTAATAATAGTTAAAGATATCATCCTATCGGTAGATAGGAAATATCCTATTTGAAAAATAATCTGATAAGCCATAATCATTATATATGATGCTGTCTTTTAAGAAACTTTCTCTATTCATGTAAATAAGCTAACAAGTAGAATCTTTATGTAAATATTGATTATTTATCAGTTATTTCCGGCAATGTAAAAGAAGCCGAAATATGTATATTATCTGTAACTTTAAATATCCGGTATTATCGTGACTGTGCAGGGGTCCTAGTTTCCATATAATATTCGAAACACAACCAATAATTCATGTAATAAACGAAAGTTAGAATAACGGATAAATATTCGAGTATAGAAATTATGTGGTTCATACTGATAGCAGTATATGAGAGAGAAATGTATATTATTAACTACTTTTTAATAGTAATAATAACAAAATCATACAGCAAGAAACGATAGCGAAAAGACTTTCACACCTAATTTGGATTCGCTTAAGAACATAATGCAAGTATAAATGATCCTTCACTTTCACCGAGCTCTATTAATAAGACTCTAATAGTCAGGTTTTTAATGAGATCTTTGAAAATATTTATAAATTATTGCATTAACACGTATTAAATGAAAAATTTTGTATTGAAAATCACACAATGAAGATTGATTAAGAATCAGCTGACAGTTCATCGATTGTCCGCTTATGGCTATGCCGGAGTTTCACTCACGGACAAGCACAGCGGAGTATATAAACGGCAATCGGGAATGACGAAAACAGCCTTAAAAGGCGACACTAACAGACGTTCCCTCAACCATTACGAGCGTTAGCGCAATAAGTCTTACAAATTATTTCTATTTATTGTGAGGCATACACTTTCTATCTATAATACATATACCGTGAAATTGATCTGAGAGAAAATAAACATTGTTACAATTGCTATACGAACGAGAAGAGATAAAACCAAATTCGTTCGAGACAAATTGTTCGAACATGTACGTATTTCTTGTTTGAACATCTTGTGCGATAACGATTCGAAAATCAACATCAATGCGGATCAATGCAGAGTGCGTTCGACAATTTGTCAGCGGGAAGAAGTGTTTTTATCGGATCAACTGTATACCTTACAGAGTATAGGAAGGTAGCAACAATGTTTCTTTCATGGCGGTAGCCCTTCTTGGGAGAGGCGTCGGAGCGTGGCGGTCGTAAATCATCCGTAAAGTCGAATCGACTGTAAGTAACGACCCTGATCACAAACTCCCGGTTACGTCGTATCCGCAAAATACATGGATAACCACTTGGCCATATTCTTCTCAAATCCCGTGTCACCAGCAGAACGCATTTAGTCTTTTTTTTTCCACAAATCATCGTTTAATGATATAATATTGCTCGGCTTGTAATTTATTGAAATCAAAGAACACTTTCTTTTTATATTTGTATCCGATAAAAATAATTCAGAGATTTACATATATTAATGCAAGGACAGGAAACGCGCATCTCTCGATTGCATTTCAAGGAAACATTATTATATGATGAGGATGATTCGTGTGCGACGCGTGCATTTAATATACGCTTGGCGAACGAATCTACATCAATAATGCAATACACTTGCATGCTGTGACGGTAACGACCGTGAACGGTCGTGCGCGGAGAAAGCGAGGAAGTGTGCCCGTAATCTACGGAGTTTAAAAAAATTCGAAAGAGAGAGAGAGAGAGAGAGATGAGAGAGCCGTCTAAAATAGCTTGCGATTTCTTCTTTGGCCAATCTCGCGCCGCGACTTCCTCGTCCGCGTTCGTATTCGCGAGCGTTTTGCACAATTGTTGGAAAACCGCAAGACTCGGTGACTCAGTAAGTTTCGTCGCGAGAAGAATAAGAGTATTGTGCGGAGAGGAAAAAGAAATGGTTTACGTTCCCATGAATGGCCGTTCAATGAATGGAAAATTTTATCAACGTTTCGAGAGATTTGTAAGCCAAATCCAGCACGTCGTTCTAGATTTGACGTTTGTGGGTGGCAAACGTCAAAGGCACGAGAAGTCATATTCTGAGTAATCCGAGCTTCATTAAGATTCCGAATGTGATGCGCGAAACGGAAAGAGTGAATACACAGATTCCTGTTCTCTCTTCCATCGCGTTTTTTGCGCATCATGGATGCCATACACAATTTGTCGTTGTTCTCTGCGAACGACTTGTATCGGTGGAGCGTAACCTTATGATTACGCACTAGCATCGTAACGCGAGCTATCAAGGTGTCGGC